TACTTGTAGTATAATAGGAGATGTGCGGTCAGTACTCGTAGTATTATAGGAGGGGTGCGGTCAGTACTCGTGGTATTATAGGAGACGTGCGGTCAGTACTAGTACTCGTGGTATTATAGGAGGGGTGCGGTCAGTAGTCGTAGTTTTATAGGAGACGTGCAGTCAGTACTAGTACTCGTGGTATTATAGGAGACGTGCGGTCAGTACTTGTAGTATTATAGGAGACGTGCAGTCAGTACTAGTACTCATGGTATTATAGGAGACGTGCGGTCAGTACTTGTAGTATTATAGGAGGGGTGTGGCCAGTACTAGTACTTGTAGTAGAAGACAGGTGAAGTCTGTGCGTGAGCCTACAAGGAGGAGCGCTCCGCAGGACACTATTATCTATGCTGGGCCTACAAGGAGTAGCACTCCTCAGGACAGTAATATCAGTGCTGGGCCTACAAGGAGGAGCACTCCTCAGGACAGTATTATCAGTGCTGGGCCTACAAGGAGTAGCGCTCCTCAGGACAGTATTATCAGTGCTGGGTCTACAAGGAGTAGCGCTCCTCAGGACAGTATTATCAGTGCTGGGCCTACAAGGAGTAGCGCTCCTCAGGACAGTATTATCAGTGCTGGGCCTACAAGGAGTAGCACTCCTCAGGACAGTATTATCAGTGCTGGGCCTACAAGTAGGAGCGCTCCTCAGGACAATATTATCAGTGCGGAAGTTGCAGGGTTACTAAAGCTGCAAAAGTGAGTGGTTGAGGGGTTTCTAGAGTGGCGGCACGGTGCGCCGGATGGCGTCACATGTCTCGGCCTGCGGTCAGCGTGTACTGTATTTGCTCTGTCAGCCGTGAGGTGCTGCAAACCTGTAATTGACTTTCTTCTTCCCGCCTCCACCGCCCCCCACCTATACTAGGTGTACCTAGGGATGCAACTCCTCAGGACAGTATTATCAGTGCTGGGCCTACAAGGAGTAGCACTCCTCAGGACAGTATTATCAGTGCTGGGCCTACAAGTAGGAGCGCTCCTCAGGACAATATTATCAGTGCGGAAGTTGCAGGGTTACTAAAGCTGCAAAAGTGAGTGGTTGAGGGGTTTCTAGAGTGGCGGCACGGTGCGCCGGATGGCGTCACATGTCTCGGCCTGCGGTCAGCGTGTACTGTATTTGCTCTGTCAGCCGTGAGGTGCTGCAAACCTGTAATTGACTTTCTTCTTCCCGCCTCCACCGCCCCCCACCTATACTAGGTGTACCTAGGGATGCACCAATACCAGTAACGGTATCAGTGGCGATATTGGGCATTTTCAGGAGCACTGAGCGCCAATTCAAGCGCTTTAAATTTTACACCACACATAGCCTCCTGAGACAATGCACAGCTCTGGTGAGACTGCATACCGTCCTGGTGAGACCACTCAGTCCTGGTGAGACCACACAGACCTGGTGAGACTATGCACCGCCTGAGACCATGCACAGCCCTGGTGAGACTGCATACAGCCCTGATAAGACCGCACAGTCCTGGTGAGACAATGCACAGCCTGAGACAATGCACAGCCCTGGTGAGACGCCGCATACAGCCCTGATAAGACCGCACACAGCCCTAGTGAGACCACACAGCCCTGGTAAAACTGCACAGCCCTGGTGAGACACTGCATACAGCCCTGGTGAGACCACTTACAGCCCTGGTGAGACCACTTACAGCCCTGGTGAGACACCGCATACAGCCCTGATAAGACTGCACACAGCCCTGGTAAAACTGCACTGCCCTGGTGAGACACTGCATACAGCCCTGGTGAGACCACACTCAGCTCTGGTGAGACACTGCATACAGCCCTGGTGAGACGCTGCATACAGCCCTGATAAGACCGCACACAGCCCTGGTAAAACTGCACTGCCCTGGTGAGACACTGCATACAGCCCTAGTGAGACCACACTCAGCTCTGGTGAGACCACTTACAGCCCTGGTGAGACCACGTACAGCCCTGGTGAGACACTGCATACAGCCCTAGTGAGACCACACTCAGCTCTGGTGAGACCACTTACAGCCCTGGTGAGACCACGTACAGCCCTGGTGAGACACTGCATACAGCCCTAGTGAGACCACACTCAGCTCTGGTGAGACCACTTACAGCCCTGGTGAGACACTGCATACAGCCCTGGTGAGACCACACACAGCCCTGGTGAGACCACATACAGCCCTGGTGAGTCTGCAGACAGTCCTGGTGAGACAACACACAGCCTCCTGAGACAATGCACAGCCCTGGTGAGACTGCATACAGCCCTGGAGAGACCGCACACAGCCTGAGACCATGCACAGCCCTGGTGAGACCGCACAGCCCTGGTGAGTCTGCAGACAGTCCTGGTGAGACCGCACAACCCTGGTGAGTCTGCAGACAGTCCTGTTGAGACCACACAGTCCTGGTGAGACCACACACCGCCTTCTGAGACAATGCACAGCCCTGGTGAGACTGCATACAGCCCTGGAGAGACCGCACACAGCCTGAGACCATGCACAGCCCTGGTGAGACCGCACAGCCCTGGCGAGACTGCACACAGTCCTAGTGAGATGCTGCACACAGCCCTGGTGAGACGCTGCATACAGCCCTGATAAGACCGCACACAGCCCTGGTAAAACTGCACAGCCCTGGTGAGAAACTGCATACAGCCCTGGTGAGACCACACAGTCCTCGTGAGACCGCACACAGCAGAGACCACACACAGCCCTGGTGAGACCACATACAGCCCTGGTGAGTCTGCACAGCCCTGGTGAGACCGCACACAGACCTGTGAGACCGCACATGGCCCTGGAGAACAACACAGAGTATCTAGCTTCATATTATTCTGCATTGCTATATAATGTATTACTGGGATGTGTAGTCCTCCCTAGCTGGTGGTATTCTGTATTCCTGTATAATGTATTGCTGAGATTTGTAGTCCTCCATAGCTGGTTGTATTGTGCATTGTTCCTTGGTCGCTGGAGTTCGGGCTGCTTTGTCCGATATATTCCGGAGCCACAGGCAGAGCTGGTCCGAGCTTTCGGCAAGTTGGTGGATTAGCAGGTTAGGGCACATGTTTTGCTGTGATTTGTAGTCCCTCTACAGCTGGAAGCCAGTGGCAGAACTACCAGGGTCGCAGCGGTCACATCTGTCACTGGGCCCTGGCACTCCATCACTGTCCTAAAATCGTTCGTCTGCATTGTTTTAGAAAACCTGTCACATGACACTAAATAAAAGGTATCGGTAATTGGTATCGGCGAGTACTTGAGGAAAAGTATCGATATTTGGTCTGGAAAAAATGGTATCGGTGCATCCCTATGTATAACACAACTGTAACCCGTAGCAACCAAACACAACTCACTATTTATTCATCTGACTACTTCAGACTGCCGAACGCTGCTTTGGGATTAGCTGCCCTGTGGTAGCCCAGGGGTTAATACAACGCTCTACCTGTCACTGTAATTCCTTCTATTTGTCTTCTATTTGTCATCGGAATTTACGATGTTCCTCCATGTGACGGGTGTAAGCCAGCGCAAACCAGGAAACCGAAACTTAAAGCTCTATTTGGAAATATATTTGCATATAATTTGCCATTTTATATCCGCTATAAATGCAAATAACGCCGAACGCAAAATTACCACCCTGGGGAGACGCCGCTCATCATAGAGAACAACGCAGACCTGGAATCAGTACGAGGCGCCTGGGGACAGGATATCCTCATTCAAAGAGGGGTGCTCCTCAATACAGTATTATCAGGGGTAGCCCTACCCTAGAGCGTAAGCCCCTGGGGACAGGGTCTCATTATACCCCTAGACTGTAAGCTCCTGGGGACAGGGTCTCATTATACTCCTAGACTGTAAGCTCCTGAGGACAGAGTCTCATTACAAGGAAAATATCTATCAAATCCCTTTACCCCTAGGCCAGCATCATGGATGGGGTCACCGGGGGAAGATAGAAGGTTGGATATTACACAGTAGCAGAGACTTGGCCGGCAGGATGAAGCTTGTATAACCGTGTGTGTGTATAACCGCAGTGCGGGAGGTTAGGTTATATAAAGGTTATTTAGGTGCCACTAAACTCCCATCCAACAGGAAACAATCAATCAAAGTTATATAGTAATCTACGACGTGATGAAACCTTACAGTGTACACGGATACATTCCAACCATGTCACATGATACAGATATATCTATGATCTATCTATCTATGTATCTATGTATCTATCTATCTATCTATTATCTATCTATCTATCATTTATCTATCTATCTATCAATCTATCTATCATTTATCTATCTATTATCTATATCTATCTATTATCTATATCTATATATATATATATAGATATAGATAATAGATAGGGAGATAGATAATATATATATATATAGATATAGATAATAGATAGGGAGATAGATAATATATATATATATATTATCTATCTCCCTATCTATTATCTATCTATCTATCTATCTATCTATCATTTATCTATCTCTCTATCTATTATCTGTCTATTTATCTATTTATCTATCTATCTATCTATCTATCTATCTATCTATCTATCTATCTATCTATCTACTATCTCTCTATCTATTATCTGTCTATTTATCTATTTATCTATCTATCTATCTATCTATCTATCTATCTATCTATCTATCTATCTATCTATCTATCTATCTATCTATCTATCATCTATCTATCATTTATCTATCTATCTATCCTCTCTCTATCTCATTTTTTTGCTGCTTTGCCTTTGTATTATGTTTTGTTTGAGGATTTGCTGCCCTCTGGTGGACATTGCGAGTCGTGTCACATGATAGTGATGACAATGATTCTGATCCCCGGTTTCATTTGTGAGCTGACCCCTTGACTGATCCTTCCATTGCTGATCCGCTGCTGCTGCAGTCTTTGTTGCTTCCCTCCCCTTGTCCCAGAACAAGCACCTCTTGAGTTGTACTGCCCCCTACAGGATGCTGGAGCCGCTTCAATCTAAATACAGAGATAGAGCAAAACAAAGAACTCGGGTGCAGATCCTCCACATTCATCTTTATTATCATCTGTTCATCTACAACACAGAGCCATCACCATCTGCAACGTACTACCTATTACTTGTGTGAATAATTTGTGATGAATGGAATGGAGCCCCGCCCCCAAAGATCTCAGCCACCTCGTACCCTCTGGGGTGGAGTTACTGGCAGCCCAGCAATGCAATGTTGGCACGCTCCTCCACCGGTGGACTCCGTGGTCGGCATGAAGGATGAAAGCAGAGATGCATGATTCATTATTCCCTCCATACACGGGAACATGCATAACGCTGAGGAGCGGCCGAGGGTGCCACAGGCGGGGCTAGTGGTCTGCATGCATGCATGTGTGTGTGTGTGAGTGAGTGTGTGGGCATGCGTGTCATGTTGATCCTGTGCCGGTCACATACACATATAAAGGGGAAGACTTTTCCCTAGAAAAAAGTTTCATCTCAACTAAAAAGTGCATACAAATAGGTGACGATGAAGGTTTGCGTTCAGACTGGGAAGGGGGCGGGGCGTAACCCTGTTACTGGGGGTCAGGGGGGGTCACAGTGGGTCCAGCCCAGATCCAGGGAGACATAAGGACAGTTAAATAAAGACACGGGCCCGGGAGGGCCGGAGAGTCAGGAGGATGAATGTACGGTTTCCCATAATGCAATGTGTCGCACATTGAACCCTTCCTAGTCCATCTGTCTTAGCTTCCTTCCGATCTTGAACACGAGACCGCAGAATGCACCCCGGTGTGTTGGCGCTCGGGCGCCCTGGCGGCCATGTCTCGCGCTATGTTTGATGGGCACAAAGGGCTGCAGGTTGCCCCCCCCAGAGGGCACTCAGTGACTTGGCCTCCCTCCACGCGAGTCTATAGAGTCACTCCGCTTTGCTGAAGCCGCTTATCGTCACCTTGCGCTCGTGTTTAATGAAGACCAGTTCCTGCAGCTGAAGGGCCCCGCCGCCAATAAAGCAGAACGCTGGGCACACGGGGCCCGAACAGTCCACACTGCCCTCCCACAGGCCACGGTGGGACACGGCGTCAAAGAAGCCCACGCGGCCTTTCTCATAGTCAAGGCAGACGCCCAGACGTGGGGGGAGGGGCATGGTGCACCCTGTGGGGTCCCGGGAGGTGGGCGGAGAGCCGTGTGGCTGAAGAATCTTGCCCATGCCAATGGTCAGGAAACAGAAGGATGGAGACACATCCATTGCGGCATCTTCTGCTCCCGAGTCGTGTCCACTGTCCGGGTCATAGCGGCTGCAGGGTGAAGAGAGAGAGAATAATGTTCAGTGTTCTCACCTATACACCTTCACACACAGGTCACCTGTACACCATGACACACGGGTCACCTATACACCATGACACACAGGTCACCTATACACCATGACACACGGGTCACCTATACACCATGACACACAGGTCACCTATACACCACGACACACAGGTCACCTATACACCATGACACACAGGTCACCTATACACCACGACAGAAGGGTCACCTATACACCATGACATGCTGGTCAATATATGGTCTATACAGATCACATGACCACACTGACTAGTACAAGCCATGAAGGTTGAGAAGATGGTCCCACTCAGGACAATGGGAGTCACCTCCTGCCAACTTCAGGGACTCCAGCTCTCAAACGGTCAGGCAGTAGGAGCCCCTCATAATGGGCACAGCAGGTGTACAGACCCAGGAACTCAGCACAGGGATGGTGGGAACCCCTCATAATGGGCACAGCAGGTGTACAGACCCAGGAACTCAGCACAGGGATGGTGGGAGCTCCTCATAATGGGCACAGCAGGTGTACAGACCCAGGAAATCAGTGCAAGGAAGGTAGGAACCCCTAATAATGGGCACAGCAGGTGTACAGACCCAGGAAATCAGTGCAAGGAAGGTAGGAACCCCTAATAATGGGCACAGCAGGTGTGCATACTTTGGTACTCAGCACAACAGTCCTCAGGATTAAGAAGAAACTATCAGGGTTTTTAACCCTCTAGAAACCCCCATACGCCAGTCCTGGGTGAAGTGCCCCTTCAAGCAGAAATATTGCCCGTGGCGGCTCATCAGATTCCTTGCCTCTCTTCCAAAAGGTGGAATCTGACTGGTTGCTATGGGAATGTTCTGCTCTCTGACCGGTCTGGCCCTTACATTGACCTTCTGACGATGGCGGCCGGTTGCGCGCTCTCACCTTGGGCTCACCACATCCTGCGGCATCTGGAACAACTCCTGCAGTTTGCTCTCCTGGCCAACGCCCACTTTCACCACGTAGGAGCTGGGGTCCACCGTGCACTCCCAGTAGTAGCGGCCCTGAGTGATGGCGACATCCCCGAGCACCAGCTCCATGGAGACGTGACAGCTGGTCATCAGGCGCTCGGCGGCGAACAGCATGGGGACCCCTGGGACGCTGCGCACCGCTCGCCGGTCCTTGCTGACCACCAGGCGGTCCCGTGGGAAGCCACAGCTGCTGTCCAGGAAGAAGTTCAGCACTGCGGAGAGAGAGAAGAGTGTTGAGAGAGAGAAGAGTGTTGAGGAGCCAGCGGCCTCCAATTCATCCTCCATTTTTGGTATATTGGTGCCCAATATAGGATGCTTTAAAGAGGACCTGTCATTACAGTTCACATCACATGAATTGGTAGAGTTCACATCAGCATTACCAAATCACATTACTATTCCGGGTAAATCCATTTCTTTCTGTTACTATAAAAAAAAAGTCTGTTGTGTCCCAACTGTTCTATTTTATTGTCACATGGTCTCTGCATTGTGGGTGTTTCACGTCATTAGCAACTGCACATAGTCTTGTTTTCCACCAGACACACCTTGTCTCGTGTCAGCAAGGCTCAACCATTGTGCAGAAGGAGGAAGCAGGAACTGAGTTTGAACATTTTTGTTCCCTCTGTGTTTCTAAAGAATTCCACTCTATAGACATCAGAGTGAGATGTATATATATCATGAACAAACATCGATAGGATTATATACTGTATACTGAGAGATCATCTGTGAGCCGGACATCAGATCCAACGTTCCCAGCACGCCGAACAACAGACCCTCGTCTACTAATCTACCTTCTCAGACGTGGACTCGTACGATGACCTATATGCAACAACAATGCTCTGTGACCTGCTGACCCCTGAAAGGGGGAGGAGCCAAATGAATGCATTTTGCTTTGCTGATATTTGGGGAAAAGCATTGGGGAAGGCAAAATTAAAGTGTGTTTTTTAATGGTTAGAGGTAGAATTAATATCATTAGGGTTAGAATTAGGTTTAGAGTTAAACCTAGGGTTAGAATTAGGGATAGCATTAGGTTCAGGTTTAGAGTTAAACCTAGAGTTCACAATAGGTTGAGTTAGGGTTATCATTAGGCTCGGAGTTAGGGTTAGAGTAAGGTCATCATTAGGGTTAGAGTTAAACCCAGGGTTAGTATTACAGTTAGCATTAGGTTTAGAGTTAGGGTTGTTATTATTAGGGTTAGAGAGAGTGAGATTTAAACCTAGGGTTAGTATTACGGTTAGCATTAGGTTCAGAGTTAGGGTTAGAGTAAGGGTAGGTTTAGAGTCAGGGTCAGAGTAAGGGTTATCATTAGGGTTAGAGTTAAACCGTTAGTATTACGGTTAGCATTAGGTTCAGAGTTAGGGTTAGAGTTAGGATTATCATTAGGGATAGCATTAGGTTCAGGTTTAGAGTTAAACCTATGGTTCACAATAGTTTGGAGTTGAGGTTATCATTAGGTTCGGAGTTAGGGTTAGAGTTAGGGTTAGAGTTAAACCCAGGGTTAGTATTACAGTTAGCATTAGGTTTAGCGTTAGGGTTAGAGTAAGGGTAGGTTTAGAGTTATGGTTAGAGTAGGGTATCATTAGGGTTAGAGTCAAACCTAGGGTTAGTATTAGGGTTAGCATTAGGTTCAGAGTTAAGGTTAGAGTTAGGATTATCATTAGGGTTAGAATTAAGTTTTTAGGTAAACCTAGGGATGGTATTAAGGTTAGCATTAGGTTTAGAGTTAGGGTTATCATTAGGGTTAGAGTTAAGGTTTTAGGTAAACCTAGGGTTAGTATTAGTGGTAGAATTAGGCTCAAAGTTAGGTTATCATTAGGGTTGGAGTTATAACTAGGGTTTGTTTAGGGTTAGCAATAGGTTCCGAGTTAAGATTAGAGTTAGGATTATCATTAGGGTTAGAGTTAAACCTAGGGTTAGTATTAGAGTTAGCATTAGGTTCAGAGTTAGGGGTAGCGTTAGGATTATCATTAGGGTTAGGGTTAAACCTAGGGTTAGTAATAGGTTTAGAGTTAGGGTTATCAGTAGGGTTAGAGTTAGAGTAAGCATGAAGGATATGGGTAACATTAGCATTAGGGTTAGATGTAGCAATATGAATTAGGAGTAGCAATAGGAGTAGTATTAATGTTAGTATTAGCATTAGGGCGTATCATTAGAGTATGAGTTAGCTTCAGCATTTGTGTTAAGATTAAGTTTAGTATTAAGGTTATTATTAGGTTTAAGAGTAGCAATAGAGTATGAGTTAGGTTTAGTATAAGTGTTAGGATTTGTGTTAGTATTAAGGTTATGAGTAGCATTAGGATTGAGTACTTCTAGGGTTAGGATTAATGTTAGAGTTAACATTAGGGTTAGGGGAAGCATTGGGGTTTAGGTTAGGAGTAGCATTAGGGATAAGATTAGAATTAGGGATAGGAGAAGCATTAAGGTTAGGAGAAGTGTTATGGTTATCAGTATCATTAGAATTAAAAGTGGCATCAGGGTTAGGGTAAGCATTAGGGTTGGATTTAGGGTTAGGGGTAGCATTAGGGTTGAATTTAGGGTTAGGGGTAGCATTAGGGTTTAGGTTGGGAGTAGCATTAGGGATAGGTGTAGAATTAGGGATAGGAGAAGCATTAAGGTTAGAAGAAGTGTTATGGTTATCGGTATCATTAGAATTAAAAGTGGCATCAGGGTTAGGGTAAGCATTAGGGTTGGATTTAGGGTTAGGGGTAGCATTAGGGTTTAGGTTAGGTGTAGAATTAGGGATAGGAGAAGCATTAAGGTTAGGAGAAGTGTTATGGTTATCAGTATCATTAGAAGTGGCATCAGGGTTAGGGTAAGCATTAGGGTTGGATTTAGGGTTAGGGGTAGCATTAGGCTGAGAAGTAGCATTAAGTTTAGGAGAAGAGTTGATTAGCTGTAGGGTCATTAGTACTGTTAGGGTTAGGAGTAATGTTAGAGTTAGGATTAGTGTTAGAGTAAGGAGCAGCATTAGAGTCTGAATTAGGGTTAGCTTTAGGTTAGGCCTATTCCTAAGGTTAGGAGTAGCTTTAGTATTAACATTAGTGTTAAGAGTAGTTTTAGGGTTAGGGTTTGAGTTAGGGTTAACATTAGGGTTAGGAGTAGTATTATGGCTAGCTGTAGTTTTAGCATTAGGGTTAGTAGTAGTGTGAGGGTTAAGATTAGTGTCAAGGTTAGCTGCAGCATTAGGGTTAGGGTTCGGTTAGGATTAGGGTTAGCTGCAGCATTAGGGTTAAGGTTCGGTTAGGATTAGGGTTAGCTGCAGCATTAGGGTTAGGGTTTGGTTAGGGTTAGGATTAGCTGCAGCATTAGGGTTAGGGTTTGGTTAGGATAAGATGCAGGGTTAGGGTTAGCTGCAGCATTAGGGTTAGGGTTCGGTTAGGGTTAGCTGCAGCATTAGTGTTAGGGTTTGGATTAGCTGCAGCATTAGGGTTAGGGTTCAGTTAGGACTAAGCGGTTTATGTGTTTTCCTCTAGTGACTGCTGTGTCTAGAGCACAGAGATGGTGCAGTACCAGCAGTACTCCAGGTCATAATTAATATGATTCTCCTTGCTGACTGTGGCAACAATGGCCGTCATGTTGGTCCCCTAACTCTTCAGAGGATGCTGATTGGTAGAAATCATACTATAGCAGACAATGAGAAGATGAGCCAGAGTATAGAATGTGTACCTTGTGCAGGCGGAGTGTGCAGGTAGATGTCTTCGCTGTATTCCCCATATCCGGCCTTATTGTAGCCTCGTACTCTGAGCACATACACGCTGTCAATGTCGGGGCCTTCTAAGATGGTGCTCAGACCCCATATCTCCTCCCGCCGTTGCCACAGCTTGAGGGTCTTGTGTTTTGGGTCTGTTTTACGATATTCCACTGTGTAGTGCCAGGCCGGGGCTGAGTCCTGGGGGAGACGCCAGCTCAGGTAGATCTGGTCATAGGCGTACGTACGCTGGGTGTCGATGACAGGAGCATCTGGAGCTAAGGTGAGAGGAAGGACAACACAAGAGTAAGAGACAAAAGATGGGGAGAGGTGGGGCGAGCAAAGTGGGAAGACAGGGAGCAATCCATGCTGAGAGAGGGAAAGAGAGAGACCTCGTTACTGCAGATCCCAGATCAGATAACGAGCAGAAGGATGCAGGCAGAAAGTCAGTCCAAGGAGCCTGGAGAGTCAATTGGGAAGCCGGGGTGATATGGGAGATGAGGAGAGAAAGATGCAGGAGACAAGGAGTGGGGAAAAGAAAGAATTGAGGGCAGGGTTCTGGAGAAGAGTCGAGGAGAACACAAGAGATGAGCAGGAGATGAGAAGAGGAGGACACAGGAGATAAGCCAAGGGGGACATTGGAGACGAGACAAAGGGGACATAAGGGATGTGGTGAGCGGAACACAGGAGATGAAGAGAGAGGAGAGCACAAGAGATGAGGAGAGGGGGGGTCAGGAGATGAGAAGAGGAGGACACAGGAGATAAGCCAAGAGAGACCCAGGAGATGAGGTGAGCAGGGCAGAGTTGATGAAGAGAGAGGAGAACACAGGATAGGAGGAGGAAGACCCAGGAGATGAGAAGAGGACATATAAGATTAGATGAGGGGGCATAAGGGATGAGGTGAGCAGAACACAGGACCTGAAGAGAGGAGAACACAAAAGATGATCAGGAGATGAGAAGAGCAGGACACGCGAGATAAGCCAAGGGGAACATTGGAGATGAGACAAGGAGGACATAAGGGATGAAGTGAGCGGAACACAGGAGATGAAGAGAGAGGAGAACACAAAAGATGAGCAGATGGGGTCAGGAGATGAGAAGAGGAGGACACAGGAGATAAGCCAAGGGAGACTTAGGCGATGAGGTTAGGGGGGCAAAGTTGATGAAGAGAAAGAGGACACAGGATATGAGGAGGAGAACCCAGGAGATGAGGAGAGGAGGCCACGGGAGATGAGAAGAACAGATATGGATGTAGCGAGAGAACAGGAACTGTAAAAAAGGAGCAAAGGATGGTAGAAGTGATATAAAAATAAAAGCTGGAAGACAGAAGATGGAGATGGAGGCTACTGGATGAAGATGAAGTTGGAGGACAGAAGATGAAGATAACACAGAGATGATGAAGATGAGGGAATGGAGATTTACAGCGCTGTCAGAAAAAGAGTTTACAGGAAGAAGTTGGAGGACAAAGGATGGAGATGGAAGATGGTGAATAAAGAAGTAGGAAAGAACATGGAGATGGAGGAGAGAGGAAACAGATGAAAGAGAGAAGATGGAGAATAGAGGATAAAGATGGAGGAGAGAGAACGGTAATGGAGGACAAAGAATGGAGATGGAGGAGAGAGGATGAAGATGGGGAAAGAGGATGAAAATTGGGAAGAGAGAAAATAGATGGAGGATGGATCGTTGGGAAAGGTTAAAATTATCCTAAACACAGAAGAAGATAAAAGTAAGTCAGAGTGAAGGCACTCTTGGAACAGGAGGGTGGAGTTCCCCCTTAGCAGTGGGTAGGGACAGGGAGGGAGGAGAAAGGGAGGTTAGAGTCTCTAATGAGGAGACCGGATGAATAACTTGCCTCTTCTGTCTCCCGGACTGCAGGTCACACTGAAAGGCCTACAAACAGAGAGAGGGACATGTAGGTCTGAAATGGACCATGTCTGGGCCAATGGGAGCCCATGCAGGGGACAACGGGACTTCCAGTCTGCACTTCAAAATCTTAGAGGACGCCATACTGTGAACGCAGCACGTCTTTAGGAGTCATAGCAATGTATATTTTAAAGGACCACTCCACCATAGACCAATAACCCACCAGCATCTTCTCTCTCTCAGGGATTTTGGTCTCCTGTCAGTACTAGGGTCACCAGACTCTCTGTGCTGGATCTTCCAGGCCAGTGAGACTTTATGATGGGTGGAAGCAGAAACTCAACATGGCTGATATCTCACTTTTTGGTGGAGTGACCTTTTAATGTACGACATACATTATAGAATGCATAAAGCACAATCTGACCCTATCAGGCTGAAGCTCCCTACTCAACCATAGAGAATCCTTTATATCCCTTGTAACATTGTGTACAGCTTTGTTCCTTCATAGAAAATGCAATATATTCACAAATCTCCCTTCTGCGTCTCTTCATAATAAAACCCGGCGTCTGCGACTCTCTCATATCTGACGATCTAGTTCTGTTCTGCTTCATCTCTCTTGTGGATCTCTTGGATATTCTCACTATTGTGAACCCAGAATTTAATATCCGGAGGTGATTCTAAGGATTCTATTTATACACAATTTGCAGAGCTCTGTGAATCTCGGGGAATGTTTGTTCTGTGCTAATAGAGGCAAACGCGAGCGTTCTTCATATGTATTCTATTCGGACAATACCACATTATGGCCACTAAATGGCACAGAGGAGCATAGGAAAGAAATATGAATTTTGTGTGCTTCTCAGCGCCATCTAGTGGCCATAAATATTTTCTATGCTCCTCAGCTCCATCTAGTGGCCATAAATATTTTCTATGCTCCTTAGCTCCATCTAGTGGCCATAAATATTTTCTATGCTCCTTAGCTCTATCTAGTGGCCATAAATATTTCCTATGCTCCTCAGCTCCATCTAGTGGCCATAAATATTTCCTATGCTCCTCAGGTCTATCTAGTGGCCATAAATATTTCCTATGCTCCTCAGCGCCATCTAGTGGTCATAAATATTTTCTATACTCCTCAGCTCTATCTAGTGGCCATAAATATTTCCTGTGCTCCTCAGCGCCATCTAGTGGGCATAAATATTTTCTATGCTCCTCAGCTCCATCTAGTGGCCATAAATATTTTCTATGCTCCTCAGCTCCATCTAGTGGCCATAAATATTTCCTATGCTCCTCACCGCCATAAATATTTCCTATGCTCCTCACCGCCATCTAGTGACCATAAATATTTCCTATGCTCCCCACCGCCATCTAGAGGCCATAAATATTTCCTATGCTTCTCAGCTCTATCTAGTGGCCATAAATATTTATTTCCTTTGCTCATCAGCTCTATCTAGTGGCCATAAATATGTCCTATGCTCCTCAGCGCCATCTAGCGGCCACAAATATCTCCTATGCTCCTCAGCACCATCTAGCGGCCATAACTATTTCCTATGCTCCTCAGCGCCATCTAGTGGCCATACATATTTATTTCCTTTGCTCATCAGCTCCATCTAGTGGCCATAAATATTTCCTATGCTCCTCAGCTCCATCTAGTGGCCATAAATATGAATTTCCTATGCTCCTCAGCTCTATCTAGTGGCCATAAATATGAATTTCCTATGCTCATCAGCGCCATCTAGTGGCCATAAATATGAATTTCCTGTGCTCCTCAGCTCCATCTAGTGGTATCTTATTACATTACATTTGACCTGAAATGAAAATATACTAAGAACGTTCATTGTTGCCTCTATTGGAGATCATCTCCAATGGAAGGTCAGAACAACTAACAAGGAAAACCTAATCAAAGGGCATTATAAATATAAAATAATAGATTTTGCTGATCAATCCCAAATATGGTGCAGAGGAGGCGGGGAAATCAGTTGTGAGTGGAGGAAATATGATTTAACCTTCAGTACAGGAAGGAGTGTTCTATGGTACAAGGTGTAGGAAGGGGTCATTACAGTCAGAGCAGAAGGAGGGGCTCTTTATATTACGTGAAGAGAAGTTGTGATATAATGTACGGCATACGGCTGATTTATAAGTCTTCCACTCAGCTGGGTGAATACGGTTCATACGGCACTACCACTACTAGAGGGCGCTGAGGAGCACAGGACATCCTATGCTCCTCAGGGCCATCTAATGGCGGTAGTGCCGTATGAACCGCATTCACCCAGCATAGGAAATCCTATGTTCCTCAGGGCCAGCAAGTGGCGGTAGTGCCGTATGAACTGCATTCACCCAGCATAGGAAATCCTGTACTGCTGAGTGCCATCTAGTGGCGGTGGTGAAGCTCTCAAAGTAACTCACAGTAAGTGCACTGAAGGCATGCTAAAGTGGCTTCACAGGCAATAGTAATGTATGTCATTTTAGCATGCAGCGGATGGGTGGAGTTCAGAATTACCTCTGACAAAGTTGAGCTCGGTCAGAAACTTCAGCTCTCTACTGACGTCCAGCTTGAATTGCGGCAGAGGGACGCACGCCGCCGAGCGGAAGGTCTGAATAGAGTCGATGGCTCGGATGATCCTGAGGAATGAGAAGGCGACATTAGACAAGAAGTAACAGGAAGTCTAACGCTCACCATACATGTTACAATCTGATTGTGCAATCTACTTCTGATCTACCAAAACGTATGTAGTGCAAGCGTCTGCCTGATTGGATAGATGAGGTTGGCCCTCATATTACATCATTTTGGTAAATCTGAAGTTGATTGTACAGAGATTTCATCTCTTTTTGGATCCCCCAAATGTTTATGTGCTTTAGCAGCTGCCGCCTGGCATTGAGCGTCACTGCGGCGTATATTGCCAACCGACCTTCCTGAGAAATGAGACTGACAAATCTGCAATGTGTTGGCGCCCCCTGGTGGGTGTCGGTTCTTACCGCTCGTGCAGCTGTTTTGCCGCCAGGACAAAGCACGGCTGTTCCGTCTCCTTCAGCACCTCCTGAGTGTAAACCGCCATAAATATTTCCTATGCTCCTCACCGCCATCTAGTGACCATAAATATTTCCTATGCTCCCCACCGCCATCTAGAGGCCATAAATATTTCCTATGCTTCTCAGCTCTATCTAGTGGCCATAAATATTTATTTCCTTTGCTCATCAGCTCTATCTAGTGGCCATAAATATGTCCTATGCTCCTCAGCGCCATCTAGCGGCCACAAATATCTCCTATGCTCCTCAGCACCATCTAGCGGCCATAACTATTTCCTATGCTCCTCAGCGCCATCTAGTGGCCATACATATTTATTTCCTTTGCTCATCAGCTCCATCTAGTGGCCATAAATATTTCCTATGCTCCTCAGCTCCATCTAGTGGCCATAAATATGAATTTCCTATGCTCCTCAGCTCTATCTAGTGGCCATAAATATGAATTTCCTATGCTCATCAGCGCCATCTAGTGGCCATAAATATGAATTTCCTGTGCTCCTCAGCTCCATCTAGTGGTATCTTATTACATTACATTTGACCTGAAATGAAAATATACTAAGAACGTTCATTGTTGCCTCTATTGGAGATCATCTCCAATGGAAGGTCAGAACAACTAACAAGGAAAACCTAATCAAAGGGCATTATAAATATAAAATAATAGATTTTGCTGATCAATCCCAAATATGGTGCAGAGGAGGCGGGGAAATCAGTTGTGAGTGGAGGAAATATGATTTAACCTTCAGTACAGGAAGGAGTGTTCTATGGTACAAGGTGTAGGAAGGGGTCATTACAGTCAGAGCAGAAGGAGGGGCTCTTTATATTACGTGAAGAGAAGTTGTGATATAATGTACGGCATACGGCTGATTTATAAGTCTTCCACTCAGCTGGGTGAATACGGTTCATACGGCACTACCACTACTAGAGGGCGCTGAGGAGCACAGGACATCCTATGCTCCTCAGGGCCATCTAATGGCGGTAGTGCCGTATGAACCGCATTCACCCAGCATAGGAAATCCTATGTTCCTCAGGGCCAGCAAGTGGCGGTAGTGCCGTATGAACTGCATTCACCCAGCATAGGAAATCCTGTACTGCTGAGTGCCATCTAGTGGCGGTGGTGAAGCTCTCAAAGTAACTCACAGTAAGTGCACTGAAGGCATGCTAAAGTGGCTTCACAGGCAATAGTAATGTATGTCATTTTAGCATGCAGCGGATGGGTGGAGTTCAGAATTACCTCTGACAAAGTTGAGCTCGGTCAGAAACTTCAGCTCTCTACTGACGTCCAGCTTGAATTGCGGCAGAGGGACGCACGCCGCCGAGCGGAAGGTCTGAATAGAGTCGATGGCTCGGATGATCCTGAGGAATGAGAAGGCGACATTAGACAAGAAGTAACAGGAAGTCTAACGCTCACCATACATGTTACAATCTGATTGTGCAATCTACTTCTGATCTACCAAAACGTATGTAGTGCAAGCGTCTGCCTGATTGGATAGATGAGGTTGGCCCTCATATTACATCATTTTGGTAAATCTGAAGTTGATTGTACAGAGATTTCATCTCTTTTTGGATCCCCCAAATGTTTATGTGCTTTAGCAGCTGCCGCCTGGCATTGAGCGTCACTGCGGCGTATATTGCCAACCGACCTTCCTGAGAAATGAGACTGACAAATCTGCAATGTGTTGGCGCCCCCTGGTGGGTGTCGGTTCTTACCGCTCGTGCAGCTGTTTTGCCGCCAGGACAAAGCACGGCTGTTCCGTCTCCTTCAGCACCTCCTGAGTGTAGCATACCAGCCCCGAATTCTCCAGCAAGGTTTGCCGCTCCCACACCTGGGCTTCCAGGATACAACGCCGCTCACGCTGGCGGTCCGCTATGTCCCGGGTGAGCGCGGCCTGCCTATCGTCCAGTGCAGAGCGCAGCGCTGCGATCAGCTGCAGGGCTTCTTCCTGTGCCTTCCCTCCATTCATCTGTAAGGGGAGATATGGTCAGTTATTGGGCAATTGTGGGATCATTAATGGGTAATTTGGGGGTAATTATTGGACAATTGTGGGGTAAATATTGAACAATTTTAGTGTAATTATGGGGTAAATATTGGGCAATTATTGGGCAATTGTGAGGTAATTGTGGGGTAAATATTGGGTAATTATGTGGTAATTATTGGGCAATTGTAGGGTAATTATTGGGCAATTCTAAGGTAATTATTGGGCAATTCTAAGGTAATTGTGGGGTAAATATTGGGCAATTGTAGGGTAATTATTGGGCAATTCTAAGGTAATTATTGGGCAATTCTAAGGTAATTGTGGGGTAATTATTGGGCAATTCTAAGGTAATATTTGGGCAATTGTGAGGTAACTGTGGAGTAAATATTGGGCAATTGTGGGGTGGTTATTGAGCAATTAATTAAGGTGTGTAATGAAAACAGATTTTATTTCATGTGATATGGGGGGGGGGCATTGGGTGTTTTGGGGATCAGAATACAGAGAACGCCCAATAGGAGGTTTGTGTTTTATTAACCCCTTCAGTACTCACTTCAGTCTGTTTGATACTCTCCTCCAATTCGTTTATCTGTCCCTGGACGGTGTGCTGACTCCCCAGGATGTAGGCCAAACTCTTACTCAGCTTTTCCTGGAGCAGAAGACACACAATGTAGCTGGTCGGCGCGTGTATTGTATGACATCATAATACAATATAATCCAACGTCATATAACAATCTTATCGGAGGCTCCGTAATATCATATATTGTATCGCATCGTATCACCCCCAAACACAACACACACAGAGTCTCCTTATATATCATATTATATTACATCCTGACACACAACTTACAATGTATCCGGTCCTTTTATATTGTATTCATTGTATCATATTATAAGAAAATGTAATGAAAAAGGCTGATGATATAATATGATATAAAATAACAAAAATAGAATAAAATACACTGCAATATAATATATTGATTTGCATCCTATCAACCTGAAACACACAACACACACAGACCGTGTTTATATATCATATTACCGGTATATACATTTTGTTATATTACATCATAATATTTAATATCCTGAAACTGCGAATAATATATCTGTTCATTTTATATTGTGTTATATTCTTATTACTTTATGATAAACGCTGACCTAATATTTTGTTTTGTATGGTCTTATATTATATTATATTATCCTAGAACACAATTCAATTATAATGAATACACTCTATTTATTATTAGATGAATATATATTATTCTTGGTCATGTGACTGAACACAGCCGCGGCAGCCGTCTTACCCTTAGGGCCTGGTAGGCGCTGATGATTGGCATGATTTTGTGGCCGCTGTGTGTGCGGCGCACTCTGCAGATTTGGCACACCAGGCGCTGGCAGGTCTTGCAGTACAGGTGGACCTCCTCCTTGTGGTCGGGGCAGGTCAGACCCTACAAGACAAGAGGGAGTCAGAGGCGCTCTATGTACCAGACGTTGGCCTGACATTATGGCGCCAACCTCCCGGTCTCACCTTAGGTTTGAAGCTCAGGGTCGGCGGCGTGGGCTCGTGTTGGGCCTTCTGGGTGCCCCATGGGTGGTAGAGCTTGAAGCACTCATTGCAGAAGCTTGCCCGGCACTCGGTGCAGCCCTTGCTGGCCTCCTGCTGGGGGGGTTTACAGAACTGGCACATGATGGCCGTGCTGATGTTGACCGTCTGCCGGTAGCGCTCCACCACCCGCTCCAGGGTCAGGTTCCGGAACAGGTTGCCCAGACCCCGCTCCCCGAGGTCCACGTCATGCTGGCAGGACGGGCATGGGAAGAGGACCATCTGCGGGTGGGCAGGACCGCGTTTCCTACCAGGATAGGTGCCAAATCCTGCCGGGGAGAGGAGAGTTCACCATTGATTAATGATTATTGATCTTCTACTGCCAATACATGAGCAGATTAAGTAACAGATCGGAGGTTTCCAGGGATAGACCGAGCGCCCATGATGATAGGAACCTATGCGGGGGCATCCCCAAGAGCCCAATTTTCCTTCCTAACCATTGGATATCTAAACAGCTATCTGCTCAATAACACATAGATAGCTGAATTGGCCAACATGTATGTACCCTAATACCAGACTCTCAGGGACCCACCATTTCTCTACCTCATTTCCCTCATTGACCCCCCCATATCTCCTCATTCCCCCCCAGTGTGTCCCCTTACATAATTCTCATCAGTGATCCCCCATATCTCTCCCTCATTCTTCTCAGTGACCCCCATATCTCCTCATAATTCTCATCAGAGACCCCCCCATATCTTCTCCTCAGTGACCCCTTATACAGGGTCGGCCTTAGGGGTGTGCGAGCCGTGCGGCCGCACAGGGCGCCATGGCAACAAGGGCACCGTGCGGCCGTCACAGCTCAGAGGGATCGGCATGACAACCTGAAACTTTATTTTTATAGACTCTATTTTAGTCTGACATTTATTGTTTACCTTCTGTTGTTTTATTGGTTAAGAATACTTATATTGTGCCGACAAGTTTAATACCTTTGAATAAAAGTTTTATTTTTATCATGCTTTTTAATATGTTTCTTTGCGGCTTAACAAAATAGGAGTCTTTAATTGGTGCGGATATTGGGGGAAATGGGTGTGGTTACGGGGGGGTGGCCACTAAAGGGTGTGGCCACTGAGGGGCGCTGTAAAGCT